GTAGAGGAAAGTAATATTTATTAAACAGTTGACTATTGATAGTTTTAGCAGGGTGATTTAATACCATTTTCCACCATCTGGATCACTTTCTCCGTTTTTAGATATTTCTTATCTCACAGAGAGTTATGAAATCCAGGGCCCTTACTCTCATTTTAAGTCACATTGACACATTTAAGACTGAGTGCCATGGGATTTGTTTGGGGGGAGGTAGAAGGTGAAAAGGTGAACAGATCCTAATGAAAGCCTTGGGATTAATTAAGAGGAACATATAAGATTTCCACACCTCCTGGCCAAATTCTGGCTTCCTTCCATACTGGCAGGTCATATCTGTCCTGAATTTGCCTTTGCACACTGGAGAGTGAGTGGGGTATGAATCATATCTCTTTAGTAAAACCTAGAGGCCAAGCCCTTCGCTGAAAGTGCAGCTTAAAATGGGTATTTCCAAAACGTTTGCAAAGCCCAGATACGGTTGTAAATGAGTTTCCCTATGAGTAGAAAGACCACATCTCAAAAGGGAAATTCAACTATCTATTTAGCTAGCTCAATGTGGGCTGGTATGTGGTTGTGTCACTCATTTCACAACGCCATTTGAGAACGAAGTCTTTCCCCCCATTTTACACTCGATTTGATTGTGTGAACATCTAAATCAGTAATTTTTTTTAGAAAAAGAGGTGCCAGAGCTCACCACAAACTTCTCCCTTGTTCTCTTAGAATGGCAATGGCACCCACCTGAGAGGTGCCAGAGCTGAGCTCCTGTGAGTTCCGGCTTGGGGGGGGGGGGAGCCCTGATCTGTAAGAACCCCCATCACTGCCTTTCAAGCTGAAATCTGGTTAGCAATATCCTTATTAAATAACCCGATTCACTTCACTCCATTAATCAGACAGTTCTGGAATAATACTCTATGGTTAAACGGAAGGAAAGAAGGTGAAAATCTGCAAGGAGAAAAGTGAAGTTCCCCAAATCTAGCTGCAAATTAGACTCATTATCCAAGGGCACCTCTCGAACCTTCCTCTTCCCATAGAGAAATGCCTTGACTAAGGGACTGTCACATATTGTTCAGGGAGTTCCACCCACCAATAGGAAGAATAAATGATGAAGACTCTTAAGAGTCCAGAGAGACTCATTAAGGCCAAGACCATAGCAGAGAGGCATCTGCACCACAGGTAAGCCCTGAAGATTACCGAATCCTAATTTGAGGAAGACGTCTGATAACCCAAGGGCAGCATGCTGAACACTCTGGAGAAGTATACAACAGCCCCAGCAACTTTGATATAATAGGTTTGTCTTAATTAGTATTAACCTATATACAATGTTATAATGCAAAGCACTAAAAGGGTATATATATACGATAAAGAGCTCTTGGTAACCTGGCTGGAGTAATTGTATATATGGATGCATAAGTATACCGAGTTTTCTCATGTCATCTGTATATCACAAATATAGCATAATAAATGTGGGAAAATATCTACAACATATGTTTCATTACTAGTGATCAATGTATATATTCTTGGTTTATGAATTGGTTTAAACAATTAGGAAGAAGAAGTGGGAAAGGGGGGAAGACGGGGAGCGGCAAGTGGGGTGAAGCACTTGCAGCAAGGAGAATATTTTCTCAGGACTGTATCCTGGCCTCAAAATTTAGGCCCAGCGCTCCTGTTAAAGCCAGTCAATGCTGCCAGACGGACCCCTAAATGGTGAAATTAAGCATTTATACACAAGCCCAGAGATTTAAGCTTCCAAACCTGTAATGCCCTCATATAGGTGATTTAAACAGGAGGCAGGCAAGCTATGAGTGGAGAGGTTCTTCCCCACCCCCAGAGCTCAGATTCTATGATCTATTTTCAGCATGACTGACATGCCTCGGCAAATCAGCATGAGTGGCGTGCATCAGTGATTTAGTGAACGCTGGGCCTTTAATGTCAGTGAAAGGTCAATAACTGGAATTGAATTCAGCTCGCTATGAATGGTATAACAAGTCTGAAGAAATCGGGCTTTCCTTCATAAGACACAAAGGAATTACCAGACGACGACAACAACACAGCTCAATAGGTTCATAAGCCTGCCTCCCTCAGCTTTAGCTGTCAGCCCTGTGCTTATGGTGACTGCCTACTATTTTCTTCCCATTTCATGGAAAGATTCAGATGGTGATCCCAAAGCTAATTACATAGAAAGCAGTCTCCCTTAACTCAATAGGATTTGCTTCCATTTATTAATGTCTTAAGGTTTAGGGGGTTGACTATAAATAAAGTATCTCCAAATCAGGGTGTTGGTCCACACAGCAGTTTATCTCAAATTATTAGTTTAATAAAAGATTTATAAAATAAAATATAAAAAAAATTTACACAGCCACGAGACTCAATACAACATTTCTGAGGTCCAGAATTAAAGTTATGGCTACAGACATTACTGGTTCCAAATTGCTTAGTCAACAAGACTTTGGACACAGGAAAACACAAACGCACCATGATTTGATTTTTAACACTGTAATGAGGCACAAGTTGTGCTATCATTACACACACTACAGTGGTATGACAACTTCATCATAATGCACTTTATTTAAGAGAACATTAATTTCATATTTATTTTTATATTCCCACAGGAAATAATTTTTTGATCAAAGCTGATTTAGGCAAAACAACATGGGGGAAATGTTACCCATACTCTGTTAAAAATCTTTTTGTGAAGTTCCTAATGCACAGGCAATAGTCGTATATATGAACTTGTGCTGGCTATTAAATGCCTTTCTTTCATGTAGGGTGGCACTGTGGTCTAAACCACAGAGCCTAGGGCTTGCCGATCAGAATGTCAGCGGTTCAAATCCCCGCGACGGGGTGAGCTCCCGTTGTTTTGTCCCAGCTCCTGCCCACCTAGCAGTTCAAAAGCACGTCAAAGTGCAAGTAGATAAATAGGTACCGCTCCGGCGGGAAGGTAAACTGTGTTTTCGTACGCTGCTCTGGTTCACCAGAAGCGGCTTAATCATGCTGGCCACATGACCCAGAAGCTGTCTGTGGACAAATGCCGGTTCCCTCAGCCTATAGAGCGAGATGAGCGCGCAATACCAGAGTCGTCCACAACTGGACCTATCTGTCAGGGGTACCTTTACCTTTACCTTCATTTAGGAATTCCGTGAGCATCAATGACAACGAAGAATGTCAGCAGTATTTCAGTATATGACGCATTTCTAATATAGCAATGCATGACTCTTACCACTGTATTGGGAAATTTTTTATATTTTACAATTTTTTATATATGCAGTAAGCTACCCAGAGTGACTGGGCAGATGGGCAGGGTATAAAATATTATTATTATTATTATTAGGCTCAAGGCTCCCAGCACTAGGTGCAAGGGCTATTTCTCAGGGCCAGGTCAAAAGTGTGAGTAACTATACCCAAATATTTCAGCTATGGTCTCTGGGGCTAATGGCTTGAGATGGAACCTAAGTGTCGCAAGAAAAAGATGCTTGCTGGGCAAAGGCAGAAGGTTCAGCTCCTAGTTATTTATACCAAGCATGGCTTATCCAGAGGCTTCATGCTAACTTGCCAGTTGCAAGGATGATGTTGCCCATTCCCATTCCTTTCTGTGCTTCATGAGCAGTCAGGAGGCCACAACACAAGAGCAACCCTGCTAAATCAGGGGAGTGGCCCATTAAGTCCAATAACCTGTTCTCACAGGGGCCAACCGGATTGCTGTGGGAAGCAGAATTATTGTGCAAAAAGCCTATTTGGAGCAGGAAGGTGAAGAGTCTCTTCCTGGAATGATCAAGAGCTCTTTGCAACAGCTAGGAGGGGCTGCAGTGGGTTTCCCCCCCTTCTAGTGAAGAGGCAAGCCAAGCATAGCTGTGCTCTTTCCTTATACTGAATGCCACTGCAACCGTTGCAGAACAACTGGCTGTATGATTCCTTCACTATGTACCCAAGAACCAATTCCCCAGTAGAGGTTAAAATGTTGTCACTGACCATCTCTTGAAAGCATTGGCAGTGGTCTGGTGAAATCAGCCACTGCAGTTGGAGTGTGCTTGAACTGTGCTAAATTGCATCTGGAGTGTACTTGAAAAGCCATGACATATGTATTGAACGGTGTACAGTATTCTACGTAGTGTATTCTTTTAGACACTTCATTACTCGAGAAGTTTCATAAGTCCGCATGATTTCAAATGCTAGATATTATGTCCTGAGTACTAACGTTAAGCTCTCATTATGAGATTAAATCACAAATAATGGATAAAATGAAGAAATTGCCTTCTCTCTATGCTGTCGAAGGGGCGTCTGTGCATTGTTTAGCCGAGTCAGTTTGTGAAACATGCACTCAGGAAATGCGGTGTGCTTCCATTTGTTTGACACACAGGGCCCTGTGAATAATTGATGCAGAGTTGAAATCCCCCAATTTGGGAACGCCACACCCATTTCCTGGCACACTTCATTCAAATGGCATATCAGACTGATGTTAACTGTCATAATGTGCATTTGGGAAAAGGGAACAGCGTGCTTTATTTCATCTGGCTCCCATTTCAGTAGAAAGAACTAATGCAACCCAAGCGAAGTTCTGCAAGTAGACCTCCATTATTCACATTGTAAGACTAAACTACAAGCCACTTTAGGATTCCAGCACTAAACACTGTAACTATTTCCCTCAGCCTTCTTTTCTATTTGCCAATGTTTGAGCCTGTTGTCTCTCCAAACCTGAACCTTTCTCCTAGAATCACACTGTGGGCATGCTGCTAAACTATTTAGAGCATTCATATTCACTGTTTGGGTATAAAAAACACAAGTAATATTAATACTCCACAAGCCTCCACCCAGGACGTAGAGAATGATGTGTCATGCTGAATTGTACATCTCTCTTATTTTATACACAGACACTAATATGTATCTCAAACACACACACACACAATGTTATCATCTTAATTAGCATTGTTATCATTATTATTAGTAAGCTGTAAATCACAGAGAATTATTAATGCAGGCAGGTCTGAAGCCTCTTGTGTAATTTTCCCCCCCAGCTAACACTGTTGGAGAATGCAAATTAGTTGGGAAACTCTGGTCATTTCAACACGAGAATGTTTCAGAATCCTTGTCCAGTATCACCAAAAATAGCAACCCCCTTAAACTAGGCTTTGACTGTCTCAATCAACAGAGTATGAAACCCATAAATATACAACATGAAGTTGGATATATTTTAAAGGTGCCGTGCTGATAATTTATTATATTATGCGTGATGTGAATGGTCACCCTCTCCACTCACCTTTCTAAAAGCTTGCTGCATTTTCTTAAAACCGTGAACTTTAAAGTTTGAAGTTTAGCCACCCTTGACAATGCATTATGCAATAGCAATGCCAATTTTAGACACTGCTCTGTTTGCCAGGGTTTGCGGCATTTTCTCATCTCCCCCACCCCACCCCCAAAAAAGAATTGGCTATGCCCTACTGGTGCAGAAGAGGCAAGAACTTTCAGTATATCATTCTGTCAGGAGTGGATATAGCCAGATGTTTCCGTTTCATTTGATTTCATCCCAGTTTAAAAAGAAAACCATACAAACTTGATTCTCAGTCATTCTGCACAAGAATGCTGAGCTCTGTGACACAGGTTTTAAGCTAGAGAAGTATTGACTTAAGTTTTACCGTTCACCTCTGCATGAATGAAAATCAGAAACTATTTGAACCTAGCCTCCACCCTAGTCTTCCAAAATCCACCAGACTTTCTGAATTAATGACATTTTCTGATTAAATGTTTTAATATTTTTGAATGGCATTATTAAGATCCACAGCTTAGTTCATACCAGATTCCGTCAAAACCTATGAAGTTTTGAAATCTAGATTATGACTCAAAGGTGCTGCTGAGGTTTACCGGGCTCAGATATGGAAACAAACTGGGGAGGCTTAGGAAGCCTTGGCTCAAGAATACAGATAAGCATTTGGAGCTACGGAGGAAGAAAATACTTCCTAGAAGACCGCTGCTCTGAGGAGCAGACAGAAGGCTCATCTCAGTGGTGTCCTCAGTATTTTTTTGGTACTCCACTATTTGTGAATGATTGACTGGAAGAGCAAAACCTGCCTGTTCCCCTTTACACTGGGTAGCTTATCCACCAGTGATAAATTTAGTTGAAAAGATTACAGTGTCTCTCTCTGCAACAAGCACAAAAAACCACACTATGCCACAACACAGATATATTTGCAAGATACATGTCCTACAACCAAATATTCCATGTTTGTCACAATAGGTATTCTTCCAGTGTATTACAACATTGTAGTTCCATCATATAATCTCTATGCAATATTTATATTCAAGCATATAAACACATATAAAGGTAAAGGTTAAGGTAAAGGTAAAGGGACCCCTGACCATTAGGTCCAGTTGTGACCGACTCTGGGGTTGCAGCGCTCATCTCGTTTATTGGCCAAGGGAGCCGATGTACAGCTTCTGGGTCGTGTGGCCAGCATGACTGAGCCGCTTCTGGCGAACCAGAACAGCACACGGAAACACCGTTTACTTTCCCGCCGGAGCGGTACCTATTTATCTACTTGCACTCTGACGTGCTTTCAAACTGCTAGGTTGGCAGGAGCAGGGACCAAGCAACGGGAGCTCACCCCGTCGTGGGGATTAGAACCGCCGACCTTCTGATCGGCAAGTCCTAGGCTCTGTGGTTTAACCCACAGCGTCACCTGCGTCCCTATAAATACATATACACTTGACCAAATATATATGTGTATATATTCAGTTGTCCTGGAATGTCAGCAAATTCTAGCATATACAACTTGAACATCATCTACCCACTGATAATCCTGAATACAACTAAATAACTGTTGATTGAACTTCAAAGAAAGCGCTTCTGTTTGTTATTCTACAAGTTCTTATTTTATCAAATGTCATTGGTAAAATGACAGGGAGCCATTCTGTTTCATCAAACTACTCTGTCAGCATTCTTCTTTTTTTAATTGTTTCACGGCAATTATCCTCTACCATTTGCTCTTTAATCTAATGCCATTATTAATCCTTTCTACAAATTTGCTCTTATCAAAATCTTTTCTCTTCAGTTGTCCTTAACTATAAAATTCAACATTGTTTCTAGTTTCCCATGTAACCTCACTGAAAGAACCAAGGTAGCCTTACCAACCATGCTATTATAGTGCAATTGATGTTAGTTGGGGACAGTTCAACATTTATCTATTGCATTTATTACCTATGGCATTAATGCCCCACCACAATGGTGTGTAGAAATCAATACTACAATGGTCCCTGCCCTCAGTCTCACAATCTAAAAAGTTACAACACATTATGAAACAGCATACTGGTGCAGATACCAACATCAGCACAGGTATACATAAAAGAATATTCAAGCTATTGTGGATAGAAGAGAATGAACAGATTTAACGACCGTCTGCAATTATTGTGGCATGTTGTGATGGCCTGGGATTCCGATTCGGAGGATGAAACAGAGGAATCCCAGCCTGCACAGGAGTCCCCGCCTCCAGGGCCGGCTGAACTGGGGCAAGGCCTAGATGCTGAAGAGCCTGCACCTGTGGCAGTGCATCAGGAGCTGGCCCCAGGTGAAGCTCCTTCTGGCCCCAGAGGGGCTTGATGACTCAGTGGCCACAGGTGAGCCTCCTCCAGGGCCCAGTAACCCTTCGGCCTCTCCTGATCTGCAGAGGCTTAGGGCAGAGAGGCGAAGGGAACTGGTTGCCCCCAGGAGGAGTGCTCGCCTTAAGGCCAGAGGAGGCGGGGCTCCTGGGGACCGGGACCGCCCCTGGCCTTAGAAGAGGATAAAGCCCAGTCAGCCCGGCCCCAGGTTGCGGGAGCAACGTCGTTGTTGGCTTCGGACCTTCCTGTGCTCCTGTTCCCTGCTCGGCTTCCTGTTCCTGACTATCCGGTACTCCTGTTCCCTGCTCGGCTTCCTGTTCCTGACTATCCGGTACTCCTGTTCCCTGCTCGGCCTCCTGTTCCCGACCATCCGGTGTTCCTGTTCCCTGCACAGCCTCCTGTTCCAGCATTCCTGTTCCCCGCCCGGCTCTCTGCCTCGGACCTTGCCCCTCTTCGTGTGGACTCTGCTACACCCAAGGTACCTTACCCCCGGGACCAGCACAGTTTGCTCCCGCCACACCCGCACTTCCCCTTCGTAGGGGTGCGTTCGGGAAGAGCCAGAGGCCATGGCTGAACAGGCGGCTGCACTGGTGGCTTTGGCCCAGGAGAACCAGGCCTTGAATCACACCGTGCAGCAGCTCAGCGACGCGGTTGTGGCACTTCAGCAACGCTTGGAAGCCCTACCGGCTCCTGGGGCCGACGCCCGGCTCCGGGCAAGTACCCAGTGGCTTTGCCTGAGAAATTTGATGGAGCCCCGGCCAGCTTTCCCATGTTCCTGGCCCAGGCCAAGCTGTATATTCAGGGGCGAGCCCGGAACTTTCCTGACGACCGCACCAAGGTGCACTTTTTGATTAGTTTGTTAAAGGACCAGGCGGCCAAGTGGGCGTTGCCGCTACTCAGGCAAGACTCCCCCCTTGCTGGCAGACTATACGGGGTTTTGCAATCGTTTGGAGGCCGCGTTCGGCAACCCCCAGAAAGAGAGTCAAGCCAACCGGGCGATTCGGCGTTTGAAACAGGGCAAGTCCACGGTGGCCACATATACCACGGAGTTTCGGCTGTTGGCACAGGACTTGACCTGGAATGACTCGGCACTGCGGGACCAGTATCTCGAAGGGCTTTCGGACGAGGTACTGGACCAGTTGGCCACAATGGAACGCCCCACCACGCTGGACACTCTCATTCAACGGAGTCTACAAATAGACGACCGGTTGGAGGATCGTCGTCAGGCCCGGGGTCGCCGACACTTCCAGTTCACGGCACCAGCTTTTTCCGGCAGCCCCACGGTCACAACTGATTTAACGGAGGAGCCTATGCAGCTCGGGGCAGTGCGGCCACGCCTTTCCCCGCAGAGAAGGCGCGGCGTCGGGAGGGAAATCTCTGTCTTTACTGTGGCGGAAGTGGACACTTCGCTCGGTCCTGCCCTGAGAAACGCCAGCCGCAGGGAAACCGCCAACCCCAGTAGCTGATGGCCCTAGCTACCGGGGGTCCCAAACCGTACAGAATGGGCCCGCACCAATGGACTTGCAACATCTTATGGTTTCAGTACGTTTATACCCTCCAGGTGGGCCCTGGATCCTCACCCATGCTTTGGTAGATTCAGGGGCAACCCGCTCCTATATGGACGCTGCTTTTGCCGCCCATCATCAGGTGCCACTGGAACAAGCCAGTACCGGTCCAGGTGGAAGCGATTGACGGACGACTTCTGCGTTCAGGTGCCGTTACTCAGGAGACCCAGCCCTTGGTCCTGTGTCTCCAGCAGCACCGGGAGTTGCGGACTTTGGACATTGCCTCTATGCCCCGCTTCCCCTGGTGCTCGGGATGGACTGGCTGGAAGCCCACAACGTTCAGATTGACTGGGTCAAACGGACCGTGCACTTCCCAGACCCATGTTCCCATGCTCAATCCGGAACGCTGGCGGCCGCGCCCTCAGAGGAGGCAGCACCCACGCTCCCAGCCGTGTACCAGGACTACCAGGACGTGTTCGAGGAACGGGGGGCAGACCAGCTGCCGCCACATCGGCCTTTTGACTGCGGCATAGACCTCCAACCCGGAGCGCCTTTACCAGTGAGTCGCTTATATTCCCTAACAGAGCCAGAGCGCGAGGCTTTGCAGGACTTCTTGCGCAAGAACCTGGAGCGTGGGTTCATTAGGCCTTCCACCTCGCCTACCGCGGCACCAGTGCTTTCGTTAAGAAGAAATGTGGGGAACTCCGCCCTTGCCATGATTACCGAGCCCTGAACAAAATTACCGTCCCAGACCGGTACCCCTTGCCCCTTATCTCGGAACTGCTGGAGCGGGTGCAAGGGGCACAGGTGTTCACCAAGCTGGACCTCCGGGGGGCCTACAACTTGATTCGGATCCGAGCCGGGGATGAGTGGAAGACAGCGTTTGGGACCCGGTACGGGCAGTTCGAATATTTGGTTATGCCTTTCGGTTTGTGCAACGCGCCTGCTGTGTTTCAACGCTACATCAACCACGTGTTTCAGGACTTGTTAGACAAGTACGTGGTGGTGTATTTGGATGACATACTGATTTACTCCCGTGACCCGGCTTGCCATGAGGGACATGTCCGGACCGTGCTGCAGCGCTTGCGTGAGCACCGTTTGT